CAGTATTGTTACACAGGGTGCAGGAGAGAATAAATGATGTGCTAGTAGAGATGATGGATATCTTTGAGTGTGTTGGAAAGCCATCACCGGGTATATTTTTCACAAACTGGAGATCAAGTCCAAATGTTATTATCTGACCCGGAAAGGATGACAGTGAGTGTAAACCAGCTACCGCAGCTTGTCAAATACAAGTGATGATGATGCACTGTCAAGATGTGAACAGCTTCAATTATGGTGGTGGTTTCTCATGTGTTTCTCCCTGCTACTTACCCGCCCATGTATCCAATCGACAGTGGCTGTGTGACACAGCAGTCAGTGGACTGTCCATCAAAGGGAGCTGTCAGGGGTCTTGGGGAGTATTACAGCAACGGTCTGAATGTACATGTTTGCACCACTTGCTCTAATACTGTCTTTGGTAGCATTATCTTGATCCAAACACACACACAAATGGGGAAAAAAAGGACAATAATGGCAGTTTATCTTAAAAGCAGTAACCGTTATAATTCAGCAACATGTTTAGTTGTCAATTATGCTTCAAAAATTAAGTTTCAATAACATTAGCTTTTTGACACAGATTATGAGTTTTCAGTGAGAGGGATATTGTAATGGAATCGCTTCAACGGTTAAGTATTTTAGTTGTGACGAGTACAATTTAAGCATTTCATTAATTCAGGGTGATGCAGGTAGAGCATGCCAATGGCCAAGATTAATCAGACGTGTGGTTAGATGCTTTCAAAAAAGACAGCGCAACTTTATGAAAGATATGGACATGTTGTCATTATTGACAAAACAATTCAAAATAACTATCAAGAGACAGAAGATCTCATCATTATTATAAGAAATCTGATGCGTAGTCAACACTGAACATGCTTTAGGATGTTCCATGTTTCTTGCAAATGGCACAGCAGACAGGGATATATATATATATTTGTTATCCTTGATTAGCTGTTGTTAATTCCTCGATAATATTTCTGAGTTTTGAAAATTCCTTCAACACGTTAACTCATCATAATAATGACCACACAATAAAACCTGAAGCAGAGGGTTGAGCAGTCTTCATAAGTTTAAAATGGATCCAAATAAAAGATGAAATTCACCCTTGTGTGAAAACAAGCAACAACTGGTGGGCCCTGTGGTGTCTCAGCTGGACCTTTTGAGGAACGGATGATTCCCCTCTTTTATGATGCCTTTGGGATTGTTGCATAATTTGCTCAATAAAGGCATGTCTTTATTCTGTATCTTGATAAGACCACACTGGAGCCTTTTGTGAGTTAACTCTTAAATGTACCTTTTAAAAACAGAAAGGTCGTTGTTTGCCTTTTAAAAAATCTGTAAAATATGAGCAAACATTTGAACTCAAGGCGGACTCCTCCCTCAGCAACCAATGTTGATGTCATAGACAAATAAAAGTAGTTTTAGGAGGGATTTTGTGGTGTTATACTTTACTATTAAGGCCACTGTATCTTTGTATTGTTCTCAAAACACAACATATACTGCATTAATTTAAATAAAATCTTACTTTAAGTTTCTCCCTGACTGGACATTAGTCCAAATAAAAACTAGCAAGCCCCTGCTTTCTAAAGTGCTGCATGCTAAACCTGATTCTTATTGTTGATGTTTGAAATACGAAACCTCTCAGTAGGATATCCCATCATCTGTATTTGTAAAGGTATCCTGGGGAATAGATACAATACTGGGATAGTTGTGGCACTGTGTCCACACCTGCAGGCTTATACAAAATATTACAATTGGGAAATGTTTAACCCAAAGCAAAAATCCACTGCTAAACAACAAAACAGCAGAAATGCAAAGTATTCGCCCTGTAATCGTTTATTCATGGTTCAGTGCAAGACATTGTTAGCCTGCATGGTGTAAACTTTGACGTTATGTGTATGAAGAAAGGCAGTGAATTGATATTTCTAAGCATACACTGTAATGTCAGAAAGCATAACAGATTTGGATGTCCTCTCGGGGAAAAATAAACCCATTGCTTTAGCTTTGATGTACATTCTGGTACGTTTTCATGCTGTTAAATTAGATGCAGTTGCCTTAATTACGGTAACTTCAAGAGGCTTTGAAGAGCCGCAACAGGAGACATTGGCCGTCTTGTCTTCACCTGCTCAGAGGAACTGCAGAGCTGTTCCTCTTCAATCTTGCATCCTTGCAGAGTCTGTTGCTAAGGAACCAGTGGCTCATGAATTTAGCTGGAAATGTTGAAGAAAGAATGAATATAAATTACAGTCCTTACAAAATGTATTCCTATTATTACTAAGGTTTCCCTTCTTGTTTTGTGGATTAATAATCCCTTAACATAATGATGACAAGAAATGTGTTTTTTTGTATATTGTTATTTTACAGTGCTGCTTGGTTTCTGTACTAATTCATATGATCATTTCCAAATATTATTTTTTCTATTCGCTTCATATTATTAGACTAATATTTGTGAATACTGGACAGAAGATAAAGCTAATCTAAATTATACAAGTGTGTAATTGATGATAAACTGCAAGAGTGACCAGGACAGGAAATGTGCAAGCAAAATGGCATTGCCCAGAATATAGAGTAGAGCTAAGTGGTTGGCAAGTGGATTCACTTAAAGTCTTGAAGATGTTTCAGTACTAATCCAAGAGGCTTGGGTAAGCATGGCTGGGTAATCTGTTTGGGGCTCCAGGGCAAAAACTTACTTTTGGGCCTATTTTCTCCAATTTTTCAAAAGGTACAGTGTACACGCAAACACACACACACACACACACACACACACACACACACACACACACACACACACACACACACACTACACACACACACACACACACACACACACACACACACACACACACACACACACACACACACACACACACACACACACACACACACACACACACACACACACACACACACACACACACACGAGATGGCAGCTTGCGTACATTATTTGCACAGAGCCCTGGAAGCCAATCAGTCCTCCTATCCAGGAAT